TGAGCTATAGGCGCTGAGCCGCAACCTCAAACTCTTAGGCTGAAGCAATTCTCTTGCCTCAGCCTCCCGAGTAGCTGAGACTACAGGCGCCTGCCACAACGCCTGGCTATTTTTAGAGATGGGGTCTCGCTCTTGCTCACACTAGTCTCAAACTCCTGAGCTCAAACAATCCACACATGCCTCAGCCTCCCAGAGTGCTGGGATTAAGGTATGAAGCCACTGTGCCTGGCTTTAGTACAGTATTTTCCAAATGCACAGTGAATGCCCTGTAATATCTAGGTCAAAAGAGTATTGTGGGGAAAAAAAAAAGCAGAAGAGGAAATGATTTTGTAATAGCCAGAATGGCTGCCAATTGTTTTTCACCGGGACATACTTTAATTAAAACATGCACTTTGGATCAAAACACTATCTCCCTGAACCTGGGGGCAACTAGGAAAAGCCTGGGCATCCCTGAGTTAGAACAAAGGAATTACCAGCCAAAGAAAGTCAATTCTGGTTTATTTCATAAATTCAGGCATTCCATCTAGAAGAACACACACCACTCAGGCAGTGCTGAGGCACGAAGGGACTATCCCATTCATTCATGTCATTAGAATCCCAGACAAAGAAGGTGAATTAAAAAAGTACTCAAAGGGCAGTGCCTGTGGCTCTGTGGGTAGGGCGCCAGCCACATATACCGAGGGTAGCGGGTTCAAACCCAGCCCTGGCCAAACTGCAACAAAAGAATAGCCAGGAGTTGTGGTGGGTGCCTGTAGTCCCAGCTACTTGGGAGGCTGAGGCAAGAGAATCACCTAAGTCCAGGAGGTGGACGTTGCTGTGAGCTGTGTGACACCACAGCACTCCACCGAGGGCAACAAAGTGAGACTCTGTCTCTATAAAAAAAAAAAAAGAAGAAAAGAAAGGGGAAGGAAAAGTATTCAAAGAAATAATGATTAAGAACTTCCCAAATTTGGCAAAAGGCACAAACTTATACATTCAAGAAACCAAGCAAACCCCAAATAGAATAACACAAAATTCATGCCTTAATACATCACAGTTAAACATTAAACTTCTGATAACTAAAGACTAAGAAAAAATCCTGAAAGCAGACCAAAAAAATGACACTTTGGTGGAAACAATTTGAGTAACAGACTTCTCATCAGAAATGAAAGAGGCCAAGAGAAGTGGTATAATATTTTTCAAGTGCTGAAGAAAGGAACTGTCAATCCAGAATCCTAAAACAAGGGAAAATAGCCTTCAGGAATGAGGGGAAAACCAAGACATTCTCAGATGAAGGGAAACTAAGAAAATTTCTCATCGGTAGATATACACTGAAAGAATGGCTAAAAAAAATTCTCTAAAGGGCAGCACCTGTGGCTGAGCGAGTAAGGCGCCGGCCCCATATACCAAGGGTGGTGGGTTCAAACGCGGCCCCATCCAAACTGCAACAAAAAAATACCCAGGCGTTGTGGCAGGTGCCTATAGTCCCAGCTACTCGAGAGGCTGAGGCAAGAGAATCGCTTAAGCCCAGGAGTTGGAGGTTGCTGTGAGGTTGCTGTGAGCTGTGTGACGCAACAGCACTCTACCAAGGGCAACAAAGTGAGACTCTGTTCTACCAAAAAAAAAATTCTCTAAACAGAAAGGAAACAATAAAAAAAGATCAGTGGACTCGGCGCCTATGGCTCAACCGGCTAAGGCGCCAGCCACATACACCTGAGCTGGCGGATTCGAATCCAGCCCGGACCCACCAAACAACAATGACGGCTGCAACCAAAAAATAGCCAGGCGTTGTAGTGGGCGCCTGTAGTCCCAGCTACTTGGGAGGCTGAGGCAGGAGAATCACTTGAGTCCAGGAGTTGCAGGTTGCTGTGAGCTGTGATGTTACAGCACTCTACCCAGGGCAACAGCTTGAGGCTCTGTCTCAAAAAAAAAAAAATCAGTGGCTCACACTTGTAATCCTAGCAGCATGGGAGGCCAAGGTGGGTGGATTGCCTGAACTCATGAGTTGGAGACCAGCCTGAGCAAAAGCAAGACCCTGTCTCTACTAAAAATAGAAAAACTGAGGCAAAAGAATCACTTGAGCCTAAGAGTTAGAGGTTGTTGTCAGCTATGACACCATAGCACTCTACCCAGGGCAACAGCTTGAGACTCTGCCTCAAAAAAAAAAAAAACCTTGAAATATTGTGAAAAAATAAAAAAAAGATGGGTAAATACAACAGAGTTACCTTCTCCTCTTAGGTTTTCTAAGTTTGATGACTGAAACCAAAATTATAATGCTGATATTCTAAATGTCTACAGAGGAAATATTTAAATATTACATATTTAAATAATAGGGAATATAAGACAAAACACTTAATATTATAAATGGAAAAGGGTAAAGGGAAGGAAAGGTTTTTCTTCTTCATTCATACTAATGACACCGCCTGTAGACTATGATAATAACATGTACAGGAATGGCTCGGCGCCTGTGAGCTGTGATGCCAGAGCACTGTACCCAGGGGTACAGCTTGAGGCTCTGTCTTAAATATATATATATATGTACAGGAATGTTGGGTCAGTGCCTGTAGTTCAGGTGGCTAAGGCGACAGCCACATACACCAGAGCTGGCGGGTTCAAATCCAACTGACAACTACAACCAAAAAATAGCTGGGCATTGTGATGGGCACCTATAGACCCAGCTACTTGGGAGGCTGAGGCAGGAGAATCACTCGAGCCTAGGAGTTGGAGGTTGCTATGAGCTGTGATACCACAGCTCTCTACCCAGGGCAACAGCTTGAGGCTCTGTCTCAAAAAAAAAAAAAAAAAATATTATGTACAGGAACCATTCAAAAGGCTATAGAAAGAGAGAACACTCAAAAACACTATAAATGAATTAAAATGGAATCCAAAATGTTGTCAACCAATATTTATAGAACACTCCAACCAACAATAGCAAATCCTTTTCAGGCACCTATACTAAGCCTGTAATCCTAGCACTCTGGGAGGTCGAAGCAGGCAGATCACCTAAGCTCAGGAGTTTGAGACCAACCTGAGCAACAATGACAACCCATCTCTAAAAAATGGTCAGGCATTGTGGCGGATGCCTATAGTCCCAGTTACTTGGGAGGCTGAGGCAGGAAGATCACTTGAGCTCAGTTGTTTGAGTTGTTGCAAGCTGTGATGCCCTACGGGGGCAAGAAAATGAGACTCTGTTTCAAATAAATAAATACGCAAAACAAGGAGGAGGAAGAGAATAATAAATATAATAGCAGGAATGAATAGTATTTAACACAGAAAAATAAAGAAAAATCAATGAAACAAAAGATCTTGGGAAAAATTAATAAAATTGACAAACCTCTAGCAAGACTGACTTAATAAAAAAGAAAAACATGAATTACCAATATGAGGAATAAAGTCAGGTTTTGTTTTTTTTTTTGAGACAGAGTCTTACTATGTTGCCCTCGGTAGAGTGCTATGGCATCACAGTTCACAGCAACCTCAAACTCTTGGGCTTAAGAGATTCTCTTGCCTCAGCCTCCCAAGTAGGTGGGACTATAGGCGCCAGCCACAATGCCTGGCTATTTTTTTGTTGCAGTTGTCATTGTTGTTTAGCAGGCCCAGGCCAGGTTTGAACCCTGCCTCGATGTATGTGGCCAGTGCCCTACCCTGAGCTATGTGCCACCCTAAAATAAGACATTTTATAGACCCTGCAGACATCAAAAAATAAGGTAACACTATGAACAATACTATGAACATAAAGGTATCAATTCAAATTAAATGGACTTATTACTTGAAAAACACAAACTACCATAATTCACCAATATGCAATCCAAATAAT